GCTCTCCAACGTCAACCCATCTCTCCGCCGTCCGCCGCTGCTCTCCGCCGTCCGCTGCTGCTCTCCGCCGTCCGCCGCTGCTTTCCTCTGAATTCTCATCCAAATCCAAGCCAACTGTCAAAGTAAGCATTTCACACACACACAAATTTGTTGTAAACTAGAAATAATGTAGTTCCATATTTAATTAATGATGAAACAATTATTTCACTTTGTCATGTTCAACACATGTCGGGTGTGCTAGCGCAATATATAAGTCAAAACATGCATAACTACAAAAGTTATTCTCTGTTTACCGTGATCAAGATTAATCAGTGAAATATTGTGCTATAATATTTTACAATGGTTAGTTCAATTTAATCTAGATTGTGAATATATATTCTAAATTAACCTTCAAAATGATCTTTTTGTGCGCCGTAGCACAATATTTCAAATACTATTATAATAATAGACTTATGCATTTATTTGATTCACAATAATCCATATCTAATTAAATGCATTTCAAACACACATATGCATATTCTTATCAATGACCAAAATGTATAAATTTTATTAAAAATAAATTGTTTACATAGATAAAATTGAGGCTTTTAGTCTATTATCCTAACAATCTACCATTTAAATTAAAGTCATGCGGCTATCAATCTTAACCCTAGTCCATCTACGTGATTGTTGAAAGTATTCGCATGAATGGATCGGCTAGGTTGTATTCCGATGCTATCTTGGTGACCATAACATCTCCTCGACCAACGAACTCTCGAATCAATGTCTTTTGGCTTCTTGTGAGCTATAAGTTCATAAATTGAATAAAGAGAAGAAGATAAAACTATGACAAAGATTTGTCAGATCTTCGTCTCGCAAGACGTAGATCAAATTTTACTAGAAGTGTTAAATCATTGTAATCTTCTTTTTCTATTTATTTATGTTAATCATGCAACGTCGAGTGAAAAAAATAACATTTTTTTACAAATTACCATAAACGATATACTTATCTAATAATTTGTTGAGAGATAAATTATGAGATTTTTGTATAGATTTGTTTTAGCTTATAAGTAATTTAGTGAGTAACTTCTTACTTTTGCATGTCATGCGCGTTCGAAGTTAGGTTAAATAATGGAGGAAGATAATATTTTAATTTAGTAGTTTGCACCATCAAAAATAGCAATGAAAATATGAAGTTAGCTCATTAACTTTTAACAATTAAATATGTGGTGCGATTTGAATGAATTATTATGGTTTGAAAGTGCAAATTAATTTGTTATTCGTGCTACTGATTTTCAGACATGAAACTGACTTTTAGGTAAAAATGAAATCTTAGTGACCTCATAAAATCCTGTGAGATATATTACATAAATTATGCCCCTGATTTGGTGACTCCATGTTTCTGGACCCTTCAATCTGCTCAGATCTTCAAAAAAATAATAATTAATGTATATGTTTTATTGATAATAAATTTATCGTAGTTTATTAAATACAATATTTAATAAGTATAAATTTAATAAATATATATCTAATAAATATATATACACTATTTGGACCGACCCATGGGCATACGATTTATTTATATAAGGGTTACAAGTCCAATTTAAAAGACCACTACAATGAAAGTTCAAATACTTTTAAATAAGATTTTGGCCCAACAAAATAACTTCATCTCGATTAATGAGGTATAAATTAGGGTTTTAACTCATTTGTTAAGGTACGTTGTAATTCAAGCAAGACAACTGCTAATATTAGTTCTACTATTTCCATTATCCACGCGTCCGACTTGAACGTTGGAGGGGTTTCTGTCGGATCAACCCCGGCTTAAATTACGTGTATTCTGTTTGCAGGACCCTCAAGATCATATATCAAGGTGTCTCAGAATCATCTAGCTCGTGAGCCAGTGATCCATTCTGCTCTTCCAATTCATTCTACCTCACTGCTCAAGGTGATCTAATCCTAGCATCATCAATATACTTTCATAGAATTTTTTTTTTAATTTATAAATGTAACAAAATTTTAATGCTTAGAAATTGTAAAATTAAAATTATACCTTCCCTGGAATTATATATTAATTAACATTTACACATAGATGATTTAATGATGAGTGATCCTCAAGTTTGTTTGACAAAAGTTTCAACCTCAAATTTCACAACCCCAAGTCAATAACAAATAGTAACCCTTACGTTGGAAATCTCCTTTTTATTGCTATTAATATATAATATAGAATTATATAATACTAATATAAGTACTAGGATATAAAACTTTTACACTCTTTTATGTAAAAAAGATTCATTCATTCAGATAAGAACGACAAAGTTGTATGTTTTTTTTTTCAAATATAAATAATATACATTAAATTATTATCTGGCTATGTTCTAATTGGACCCCTTTCCTCATAAAGCAATAATAATTAATAATAATAATAATAATAATATAGGTGGCATCCGCCGACGGAAGACGACAAAAATAAAAGCGACAACCCCCAAAATTTCATATGCGTATCGAATTGGGGACACACAAAATCACTCTTTCTTTTAGGGGAAAAAAGGTTTATTAATATATATATATATTTTTTTTTTTTTTATAGGAAACAAATAAATTTATTATCAAACGAAAGCGGACTACAATCTCCGTAATTCCCCTGATTCTTCTCCCATATTCTAGTTTTGATTCAAGGGCTTAAAAGCTTGTTCTTGAATCGAACATATGATTTCTTATCACGAACATCTCGAATTTAAATATGTTATGAATTCGAGGAATCGAATATATATGATTTCCTATCACGAACACCTCGAATTCAAATATGTTATGAATTCGAGGAGGAGTCTCGAGACGTGAGCTTGAGAGCTCGATATGTGTCTATGTGAGTTTAGGTTAAAATTTAATTTAACTATCAGACTGTATCCAACGTATAAAATACTTATTTGAACGTCAAAATGCATTAAATTGGTCCACTCTTTTAGAATTCGTTGACCTATGCTCACGTGGCACTTTCACTTTTGTATTTCTAATTACTTTTACATTTTTCATGTGATTTGACATTTTTACCCTTATTGCTAAAGAAAATACATTTGAGTGAATTTTCGCTAATCGCCCCATATGTTTACTTGAGATAGATAAAAAAATTTGAAAATCTTGATTTACGATCCACCAATTGTGAAGCGATACTTTTTCGATTTTCGAATAGGTTTCCTCATTTCCATTTTCGAAATTCTAGTTTCTTAATTTTTTTTTTCCGAAAAAAATTGGAACAAAATTAATGACGCAAGTTCTTGATCAATCGATTCCAGTTCATTCGATTAATGTCCAACCTACTTATGATACAGAATGGGGGTTGTTTTTGAGAAATTGGGGACCCTAGGCGAGTTTAAAGAACTTGTAAAAATGACTCCCTATTTGTATTGTATAATTTACACATTAATTCATTAAGGAGAACGACTGGACAAGATATTTGATTAACAATTAAGAATTTTGTGGAAGATATGACTAATATATTGATGAAATTAAGCTAAATCAAAATTTTACGGGATTCAGGGACAGAACCACGATTTTTTGTTTTAAATAGTCATAGAAATATTATTGAACAAGTATATTTATGTAAATTTGTTTAAATATAGTATATATATATTTCAATTTGTCGAAACTCTTTGAAGTTAGATTTAGATAATGTAGATTATTAAAAAATGCAAAGATTGCTGGAAAAAAGTTAAAATCCTAAAATAGATAAAAATTACTAGAAGAACTCAATATCTAATTAATTTTAACTGGTCTAAGACATTTCATTCCAGTCAAATGCAAGAATAAATAAAAATTCCCAACCAATACTTATACTATATGAAATAATATAGTTATGGTTATTCAAATTGTTGAACTATATTTATATATTTTAAATACCATTTAATACTATGACTAGTACATATAAAGAGTACGAAACATTATTTTGGGGCGCCCAAGGCGACGGTCTCTCACCTGTGGTCAGAATCGGCACTCTACATAGCCTTATTATTTTGTGGACAATATTAAAGAATACAAACAATGTCGCAATTAGTGCATAGTGTTTGGTCTACCATAAGAAGATCATCATGCTATGTATGTATGGACCATAAAACCACTTCAAATAATTCTAAGTAGCAACTTGATGTAAACTTTTTGAGGTATTCAATTGAAATCCACATATAAAGTTTTGAAAATAACATATAATAATAAAGCAAATAATTGATGGAGACCATATAACAAAACTTTCAAAAAAACATGAACAAAACATCATAATAACATTAATCATAATTCATTTTATTCAGCATCCAAAAAACCAACCATTCACAGAATATTATTTAGGTTAAATAGCAGTTAGCCCGAGTGGTATGGGATTTGTGCACATGATTCCCTTATATTTTTAATATAAGCACATGACCTCCTTGTAGTCCGAACTTTGTGCTCGAAGTTCACAACACACGCGGTTAACTCCTATTTACCCTATTATTTACAGATACATTAGTTTTAGGGCATATTACGGCCACCCCCTAAGGTATGGCCAAATTACGAGAAAAAACACCTATTGTTTGGGTAATTATAGCCACCCTCTCCTTTTATATATTTTTACATACAATTTATGTAATTCTGTTATTTACCGAATCAAAACGTATATTTAGTTCGATAATCGGTATGAAATATTGGCGTACCGAAATTTTGGTTCAGTTTTCCGAATTAACATCCCAAAATTTACATCTGGAGGGATATTTTCGTAATATGATACATAATTAAGGGAGGTAGCTGTAATTATCCACACAGGAGATTATATTTTCATAATTTAACCATAATTCTGGGTTGGCGTAATTTGGCAAAAAAATATTTTAAATGTTTTGCTGCTGCACGCTCTCTCAGGTCATCAGGCACTCTATATATATATATATATATATATATATATATATATATATATATATATATATATATATATATATATATATATGTTAATTTTCATAATTTAACTATATATAATAATCATTTAATCCTCAAACCTTTTTTATATATTATAATGAAATTAAACGAGGGCATCTTATCTGTCGTAGAATATTAAATTTCATTACCAACCAAATACATAAATTAAAGAGACCTATGCCCCAAAAGGGTTTACATCTTACAAGCCCATTAATGGATTCTTCACCTCTCAAGCAAGAAGAAGACGAAACCCTTTCGTTTATTTCTAGTTATTCGAATAAAGAAATAATCGAATCTTCAAGAATTCTATCCGAGGCAAGTAAAAGACGGTACATCGGAGTTCGAAAGAGGCCGTGGGGAAAATACGCAGCGGAGATACGAGATTCCACTAGGCATGGAGCTAGGGTTTGGCTCGGAACGTTCCATACCGAAGAAGAGGCGGCCTTAGCGTACGATCAAGCTGCATTCGCGATGCGGGGCCCGTCGATTCCGCTGAATTTTCCGTTGGAAAAAGTTGTGGAATCACTCGAGAAGATGAACTACAGCTGCAAGGAGGGTTTTTCGCCTGCGAAAGCGCTGAAGGAGTCGAATAAAATTGTAAGTGCTTCGACGAAATTACAAAAGCGAAAAACGAAACGAGTTAGTGAAGATGATATCGTGGTTTTCGAGGATTTGGGATCTGATTTGCTGGATGAGCTTTTATCTGAGAGTTCGAGTACTAGTGAGTGAACATCAACAATTTCTTTAATTTCATTTGTTCTTGTAAGTAATTTCTTTTTTTCTAATGAAGTCTTCTTCTTAATTAACATGATATCTTAGTTTTAATTAGTCTCTAAGTATAATTTCTAGAAGGTAAACCCTTTTTTTTGGTAAATAAAAGTAGATATTCTCTCTCTCTCTCTCTCTCTCTCTCTCTCTCTCTCTCTCTCTCTCTCTCTCTCTCTCTCCAAGAAACAAAGAAATAGTACTATTGAAGTTGAATTAGTCTCTTGAAAACCATCTCAGGTGTAAGTACGTACGAGGTAGCCCACAGTTTCTCTTTTTGCTATTATATGTTGAAATTTGTTTGAGGTAAGTTGATTTTCTCTAATCATATGAAATGCAAAATTAGCAATAACATGTTTCGTTTTATAATTTCGTTGCCAATTCCAATTTGCAACAAAAATATTCCGTTGCCGTTTCATTGTCACGGAAAGTTCGGGGCAACATAATGCACATATCATCGCCAATACAGTGTCTAACGAGATCCAAAGTACTCTACAAACATATTTTGTTGCGGAAATCAAGACAATTGTCGATAAGCTTAAATTTTCGTTGCTAATACGTAACTATTGGAAATAAAATTCATGAATTAAATGTAGATTGCTATAACTTATTCATGTAGCACAAAATTAAATGTAAATTGCGTGCTACTGTCTCGGTTTCCTTTTAACTGTCGTTTTTTTTTTTACCCTTGCACAAGAATTAAGAATCTCGTTAAATATGACTTGATTTTAAGAAAATGTATACTTTTAGACTATAATACTCTTGTTCATTAATAAGAGAGATTGTTGCGGAGAGTTAATAAAGACATAATGAAAAAGTATGTTATTAATGTGGTATTAAAATTCTAAAGCGACAAATAATATTGAATAATTTTTTTTCTCTCAAAAGTAACAGATGCTACGGAAAAAAAGTGAGTATATCTTATTCATTATGTATCTATCGTTTGACGTTGTAAGGAGAATGTTCCTTCAATAATAACATACGCATATTGAAGATTAGTACCTCTAAGCAAAGGATTCATTTTTCATCAAAAGTAAAAAATTATGATTTAAAAAGAGTCATGCTATTTCCACCCTTATATTATCTCATTTCACCACCAAATTTTAAATACATAATATAATATAACATAAAATATCATAAATACCCTTAATAATTAATAATCTTTTAAATCACAATTTTGATCTACCACCGTCACTTCTCTTCATCTTCTCCAATATTTTATTTTTCTTCATAGACTTCCATAACACAAACCTTTTTAGACCAAAAAAAATTAAAAAAGAAGAAATCAGTTAATCTAGAACGACATAATTAATGTCCATTAAAAAAAACCTTAAATATATTTATGCTTTAGAAATTACGGCAATTGTTTATTGGTTGTTATCCAGAGAGGAGTGAGAAACTGAGAACAAAAAATGTTCAAGAAAATCAATGAGCCGGAATTAAACCAATATCCCAATTGCTATTATTGTCTTCTTCTCTAAATTTCTTGGATTTGGATCGCATCGATAAAAAAATTGGAAAGATCCGCCCTTCGAGTTCCTCTATATGGAATATTTATGTTGATCGTATGAACATATAAGTCGAGGAGGAATGCATAGGATGCGGCGGCGCCATGGGCTAGGAGAGGGAGTACTTTCATCGTATTTTTTGAGATTTTTTGCGATGGAGATCCCCGATTGTAGATTCTTTTTATTCATTTTTTATTTAATGGTGAAATTTATATAAAAAAATGGAATGGTGTTAATTTCCAGAAACATTTTCTTTATGTTGTAATTGAGAAGATGAAGTTAGTAAATTGATGATGGTGGATTAGAAAAATAATTAAATGAATACGTATGAAGGGTATTTCAGATATTTTATATTATGTTATTTATTTATTTAAAATTTTGGTGGTGAAATGAGATAAAATGAGGGTGGAAATAGCACATCTCTTTAAAAATATAAAAGAAACAAATTATCACATATAAGCTATAGGTTAAATACAAAAACATCACTATACTATGAACTTTGTATCATATACCCCCCCCTGTACTACATATAAATACAAAAACTCCCCTATTGTTATATTTTTCCAAAACTTGACGAAAATACCCCTGCTAAGCCTATAAATATAAGGTTTTGTTTGAGCCATTTTTCACTATATTTTTAATATTTTCGGTCAATTTTACTTGGGAAATTTTGATATTTTTTTTTCTTTAAAACATTTAATTACTAAGTTTTTTTTAATTTTTTGAATAGAACATTTTTTTTTGTCGTCATTTTGAATTTCTTCATTTTTTTTTCTTAAATTTCTTCCAGTAGTTCAAATTTTCACCAATAATAGGATTGTAAAGATGTTTGTAATCTTAGGATGTTTTAACTACCGGCAGTGGCGGAGCCAGGAATTCGAGACAGGGTAGGCTTAACATTAACGGGGGTTCGGGGGAAGCGCCCCCGATTTTTGTTTTGATTCATTCACATAATAATATAGCACAAAATAACTATAAATTTATAAACTTAAACTAATATAAGCTATACTAAATTACTTTGGTGGGTGAGCTTAACATTGACGGGGGTTCGGGGGCAGCGCCCCCAATTTTTTTTTATTCATTAACATAAAATAGCATAAAATAACTACAAATTATAAATTTCAACTAATATAACATAAATTTTTTGATAGATAAGCTACACTAAATTACTTGGGTGGGCTAAATTAAACTATTTGGGGGGGGGGGGGGGGGGGGGGCCACCCTCTTTTACCTGCAAAATAAATTCTAGACTAATTTTAAAAAAATCAAAGGGGGGGGAAACCCCCCTCTCCCAAAAGGGGGCTCCCTCCATAAATCACCGGAAGACGTTTCAAAAAAAATTTGAGAAACCTATTCTTCAAGTTTGAAAGGGTTTTTTTTTAAAGTCTCAAAATCTTTGATTTTAGCCTCTTGTGGGCAAACAAAAAACTTAACTTCTCATCGTGAATCTGAAAATGTTCCAGGCTGTTTCGTGGTGACAAAAAATCTTGATCCACCACATAAGGAAAAGACTTCACTCGAAAGCATTCTTCAACCGATTGTACCACGTCTTCACTAGAGCTCTCATCAAAATG